TCTGGCCTGGGTGACAGGCAGTGGGACAGGAGGTGAGCGGGACAGCTCGGCTCCAAGTGTCTATGATTCTGAGAGTTTGTGGTATTGCCAGGGTGGGGCTGGCAGCTCCTGCCCAGGTGCTGTCTTGACACCAGAGTTCAGACTCCACCATCTGTTTCAGGACCTGGGGGACATGCTTCATACACTGTGGGGTCCTAGATTGGGGCAACAAGCTAGAGTGAGAGGGGGCAAGTAGTGAATGGCAGCCGCACTAGCGGGGCATCGGCACCCTGGCAGCAGTGCCCACATTATAGGGTTGGGGTTTGTGGCCGCAGTCCTGTTCTGTGACTGTGAGCCCCACTGCTAATAAGAGAGCTCTGAGGTAGGAAAGGCAGGACAGAGACAGGAAGGGGTGAGGAGAGGGTGACCAACCTCTGCAGGCAGGAGAGAGAAACATCCACCCACGGTGAGCTTGGCTCAGTTAGAATGGAGGGTCTCAGCACTTGCAGGGTTAGGGCAGGAATGGGGAGGAGGTGCGGCAGAGCTCATGAAACTGAATGATGTTGCCTCTGGGGTTTTCCATCACAGCCTCCGTCCCCCTGGGGTGCAGTACCCTACCCAGCCACAGCCAGGACTCTCTGGAGTGTGGTGTGGTGTGGAGCTTGGGGTGCTGGGCACACACACTCTAAGTAAGCTGCTGCTAGCTGCTTTCCCCATGTCAGCCACTCAGGAGGAGTCTCCAGCGTGCTCCTCCTGCTGCCAGCTACCACTGGATGTGCCCAGGAACTACTCAGCCCCACCAGGGACAGCCCCTCAGCCCTAGCCTGGCTCAGACTTTATCCTGCTCTCTGGCGGCTGACAGGGCTATGCAAGGAAGGAGGTTTGGGTGCCATGAAATTTCCCTTGGTTCCCTGGGACGCCTGGCCTGACTGTGGGGACATCCGGGCTTGAACAGTGGCCCTGTCCACTTGGTAGCCCTGAAGCATCGCTGTATCACAGTCATACACATCCCTTCCTCTGTTCTTCATACCACATTCCAGCACCACTTTGTGTCCCAGCATGATGCTGACCCAGAAATATCTCAGGCCCTCCTTGCCCTGAAGGAGTCTACAGCCCAGAGATTATCCCTTCATTGCCCCTACCTACCGTGTGATGCAAAGCCCATCAGCTCACTTAACTGCATCCCTCTGGGGCAGGAGTTACTCTTCCCACTGCACAGGTGGGAAATCCAAGACTCAGAAGCTAAATGACTCGCTGCAGTGACACAGCATGGTCTTTGGAGGTCACTCTCTTCCCATCTCCACAGCTGAGCGGGACCTGAAGGTCAGTTGGTGGGTACCATGCGTCAGTGAAGGGTACTCAGGGAAGGGTCTGGCAGCGGGGGGGAGACAGAAAGGCTTCCAAGAGGAGCAAGAGGTTTGGCCTGGGATGGGCCCTGACAGAAAGAAGGGTGAAATCCAAGCTGGGCCTCGGATAGCCCTATGGGGTCCCAGAGGCCAAAGACCAGTTCAAGGGGGCCAGCTCAGGGCTGCTTCTGGTCAGGATTTCTGGTCTCCCCACTCTTCTCCCACTTGGTGACCTCTCTGACCTGCCCTCACCCATGCTGAGCCTTTGTGCAAGTGAACAAAAAGTGCTCCTTCTGCCACTTGAGTGCCATCTGCAGGAACTGTCGTTATAAATCTGCGCACGTGTGGTGACCATGATGTGACGTTTCTTAGTGCAGTGTGGTGTGGTGCATACCTTGCATAGGCATACACAGTGACCTGGAGCTTGGGGTGCTGGGCACACACACTCTAAGTAAGCTGCTGCTAGCATTGTGCTGACTATGAGAGCTGGGGAAGCAAGTGAGTTGTGACCTCCCTGGTGTGGCGGTCAGGCCACACTTCCCAGGATGAGGGCCAGATTAGCAGGTAAATGGGTGGAGTGGACACAGGCCTTTGCTACTGTAATAAACCCTGACAGGACCATGCAGGCTGCTGGGAGCCTCTTTATCAGTGGAGCTGCTTATAGGCCACTTCCCCTCACAGTTCCTCAACTGGCCCTTTCTTGCAGACACTCTTCCTCTGATTGTTCGTAGTGTAAACCTCACTGCCTCCCTCCCTCTCATCCCCCTGCACAGGCTCCGTGTGGCCTGTGGCCTGTGGCCTGTGGCCTCCACCTCCCAAAGACATTAATCCCTAGGCCCCTAACCCCAGCTCATGCCCCATTCTGAACATGGAGTTCCTAGTTCCTTGTTGCTAAGGCCCTTGTCTCCTCCCTGTCATGCCTGGGTGTCTCACCCACCTGGTGACTCCAGTTTGTTACCCTGGCAGTTGCCAGGAACAGGGCGTGCAACCGCTCATTCTTTTTTTTTTTGAGACAGGGTCTCATGTAGTTCAGACTGGCCTTGAACTCACAATGTAGCCCAGGCTGTCCTTGAATTCTTGGTGATTTCCTGCCTCAGCCTCCTCAGTGCTGGGATTACAGGGGTGCGGCACCATGCCCTGCAGAACCTCTCATTCTTGCCCTGTCCCGCCCCACTGTGAGGATCTGGCCTAGGGACGACGGTAGCCCATGGAGCACAGGATTCCTGGCTGCTCTGGGATTCCTGTACTCTTTCCCGCCACCTGTCAGCACGGCCCACATCCCTCATCATACCGCAGCACAGGACATCTTCACACAACCTGCAGCAAATTCTCTGTTCCTCTTGACCTCTACGCTTCTTGTCTGGGAGCCCCTCATCCTGGGGTGAGTCCCCCGCTCACTGGCCCTTGCAGAGCCTTGTCTTCTGAACATACCTGCTGGGACAGCCATCCCTGCGGACAGGTGGCCATCCAGCATGGTAGCTGTGTCCATGGAGGACTGACTATACACTCTGTGGTAAAATCTGTGGGTTGGCATACTCATGCCAGAGTAGGAGAAAGGGCACTTCCCCACCCACAAGTTCGTTACCAACTCTTGATTTCCTGTGCCTCCCGGGAATATGAAGCTGCCCAGCTTTCAGTGTGCGTCATGTAGAACAGGCAGACTGCCCTGCAGAGTTAGTCCTGGAACTGTGGGCTCTGTGCCAGGCCTGAGGGGTGCAAGGGGCGGTGGGAGTCACCCCAGGATGGCCTCAGGGAGGAGGAGCCTCTGCAGGGAGGAGGAAGTGCCTGAGGGGCCAGAGGGTGGTGCAAAGGCCCAGACTTGACCTAGCTGTTTGGGAGCTGCAGGCATGATGCAGGTGTGGCGCTGCAAGTGCAGAGGTTGGGCTGGGCCAGGTCAGAGTGGGCCCTGGGGTCTGCCAAGGAGCTCAGGCCATTGGGAGTTCATGCCTGGTCATGACATGATCAGAGGGGAATCACTGCGGGAACGTGGCTCACTCATTGGGAGACCCAGATAATAAAGTTGGTCTGGACCTGCCTGGTAGACTGCAGGAAACAGAACTATTAGGAGCAAATAAGGATTGGATGAGCTGGGGCTGGACATATAGCTCAGCGGCACAGCGCCTGCCTGGCAAGTGCAAGGTCCTGAGTTTGATTCCCAGCACAAACAAAAAAAAATTGCAAAAAAAAAGAATTGCACAAGCTGGATATGGTGGCACACACCTATGATCCCAGCGCTTGGGAGGCTGAGGCAGGAAAACTGCAGTGAGTTCAAGGCCCACCTAGACTACATAGTGAGACCCTGTCTCAAAAAAACAAAAGACAAAGCAAAATAAAAAAAAATGGACACAACAGGAGAGACTCTTTGAAGCACTAGATCTGGGGCACCAGACCAGCGAGGTCGGGGTTGGAGGTAGTAGAGGAAAGGTGCTGCCTCAGACCTGGCAGCGTGGGCCAGCTCTGTGGCCTGGCCGCAGGAGGCGGATGAGCCTTCACCCTTCTCTGCTCCCCTCACAGCCTCCAACATTCTCTGGTGGCTCCCAGGCTTCAGCCCCGCCAGACAGGCACAGGCCCGCCCTGCTCCCAGCCCATTTCTCTATTCCTGGCCAACATGGGCTTCTGTGCCCAGAGCTAGAGCTTAGGCCAATCCGTGTCCAGGTGGGGCAGACTCAAGAGGCCTACTCTCCCAGAACCATCCTACCCTGGCGTGCTGGAAGACCTGAGCTTCAGAGGACTGTTGCTTTTGCATCTCTGCTAGGTACAAGGTGAGCCTTGCTCTGCATATGACTGGTAGTGGCAGCTGGGGAACAGGGCTGCTGGTGTGGGCCGAGTTATCACAGGGCTGAGGGTCCTCTCCTGCATGCTGGAGAGAAGCAAGGGATGCTTGTGGATGTGCTGCTTCCCAGGCATCCTCCTGAGTGCTTGGCTTGTATGGTCTCATTTAGTTCTCAGGGCAACTTCAAGGTGTAAGTGCTACTGGATTCATTTCACAGAGGAGAAAACAGGGACGGAGAGGCTGAATAACCCACCTGAGGCTACAGAGCTCTTTAGTGGGGGACAGGCATTTGCAGTTCCAGAGAGCCTGGCTGCAGACACCACGTTTAGCCTCTCCACTGAGGTGTCTGCGCGGTGTGGGACAGAAGGGTTCTGGGCAGTAAGAGAACTTTTCCTCCTCTTCTTGCACCTTCCCACTCTCAGTCATACATACTTTGTTTGTTTGGGCTTTTTCTTGTTTTTTTCCGGTACCCGGAATTGAACTCACGACCTTGCACTTGCCAGGCAGGCACTGTGCTGCTGAGCTAAATCCCCCAGCCCTCTCAGTCATACATACTAATGGAGTAGAAGCAGGCTCAGTCCCTGTTCTGGTGGGGACCATCGTCAGAATGGAGACCAGCACACACTGAAAAGGCCTCGGGCTGCAGCTGCAAGAGGACGTCCCTGGGGTGGACCCCTGGTTCTGTTTGTGGCTCTCCACTGTTTTGTGACTTGGGCTCTGTGATGTTGGACAAGTTACTTCCCCACTCTGTGCCTTAGTTCCTTATTAGTACACAAAGGGCAATAATCCTGCCTGGTAAATTTGGGTACAAAGGAGGAGAGGGGAGATTCCTGGTTGGGGTTGGTGATGGCCTGAGAGACCTCCCTGACCACCTTGACCCCTCCGGCCCTCTGTTCTTCCAGTGGGAGCGTCTTTGGTTCCTGCTGCTCACCTTCACCTTCGGCCTCACGCTCACCTGGCTCTACTTCTGGTGGGAAGTCCATAACGACTACGATGAATTCAACTGGTAAGTGGGCTAGGGCTCCCCGCATCCAGTGGATGGGACCTGGGGACTCGCATTTGAGCCTCTTCCCCAGGTTGGCTAGGGGGCTCTGCTACCATCTCTCTCTGCAGCCAGAGCAAGGCCACCCTGAGCTTCCATCCTGCCTACTTGCAGGGTTTGGGAGACTTCTCAGGGGAGTCAGCTGGGGAATGGGCCTTAAAGGATGGCTGGCCTGGGCCTTGAGACCTTGGTGCCCTGGAGTCCCTGAATGTTTGCAAAGGGGGCTCATTCTGCAGTGTGGCCTGAAGAGGCAGGAGCAGAAGCACTGAAGAGATGCACAGGCACCTCCCCGGTGCCACACCGTGGAAACGAGTGAGAGATGGGGCTGCACTCAGTTGGACTGGGACCTCTTACTCACTTTGTGGACAAGAACTCCAAGGCCCAAACCTGGGCATGGTGGCACATGCCTATAATCCCAGTACAGGAGGCTGAGGCAGGAGGATCACTATGAGTTCAAGACAAGCCTGGGCTACATTGTGAGTTCAAGGCCAGTCTGAGCTACATAGCAAGACCCTGTCTCAAAAAAAAAAAGAAAAAGAAAAGGAAAAAAAAATCTCCAGGGCCCGGAGAGACCAAAGCCTTGGCAAAGGAGTGGCCCCTGATCCTAGGCTTCCTGGGCAGGGCTGGCAGATGATGCTACAGTCTGGGACGATTCAACCATCTCTGTGGGCAGCTCAGGTCCAACAGCAGGGCTTTTGGAGGCAGGTACCTGGGGCAGGAGGGCACTGTCTCTTCCTCTTTCCTTTCCATTGCCTGCCTTTTGTTAAGCAGTGAAAGGCCATGGGACGAGGGCAAGGACCATAGGTGCTTGTCGGAAGCCTTTCTTTGACAGCTTTGGAGACTGAGCCCCAGGTCACACAGCCAGGTGGGGGCAGTTAGAGCTTGGAAGCCAGACCTGCTCCTCCCTATCCTATGTTGATCAGAAGTGCATCCGTATGCTCTGCACCTCTCTCTTCCTCTGTAAAATGGGTTAAACTGACCTCACCAGGTCATGCTGCAGGGAAAATGGGATGAGGGACACGGGAGGGCTCAGAGCTGTACCCACACGGGAGGGCTGCTTCCTGGGAGAGCAGGTCTCCAGCTGGAAAGTGGCTATGATAGAAGGGTGTGGGGTTCCTAGGACTCAGATTCTGATAGACCATGGTTTGGGGATTCTGTGAGAATCCTAAGACTGTGTAGGGGACATGGAGTCAAGTGTCCACTTTCTGCAGCACCAGGCTATGCCACCATCATAAACAAGCACAATAAAGGATGTGCTCCTGTCCTGCTCCTGCCCCACAGTAGCCCAGCAAAATGAGCTGAAGTCCAGCCAAGTCCCAGAGGTGGCCTCTGGTCTTTATTAAATACCATAAATCAATTATTCATTCCTGTAGGTGTTCAGAGCTCAGGTACTATTGTGAGCAATGGGAATATTCCTACTGTTTCTTGATGGCAGACCCTGGATAGTTCTGCTGAACTGGAACATAATATGATACCCGTGGGGAAATTGAGGCCCAAAAAGGGACAGGGCTCATCCATGGCCATATGATCAATCAGGGCCAAAAACACATATTGAGGGCAGTCTGAAGAGAACAAAGCTCAGGGAGGTTAAATAGCCTTCACACAGTCGCACAGTGAGATGCCGACAGATCTGGGGCAGGGACTTGAGCCTGGCTGATGTATCGTGTTGTCCGCGCAGCTACCCCATGCTCCCAGAGGGAGCTGCCTGTCACGGAGAGACTCGTCAGAGGACAGGTGCTCGCCTTGTCAGGGAGGCTGCGAGGAAAGGCCTGCCTGGGGACCTAGGGAGATGCCAGGGACCTGTAGCTGCTCGGCCTGTCACCTCAGTTTCCTAGGGGCTTGGTCTTGGGGTTCAGGAGGACCTACCCTGGCGTTCGTGGTCTCAAGAGTGTCTGGGGTTAGCCCATGCAGTAGAAAGATGTGAACCAGACCCAGCAGGGCAGTGGGGTGGGGTGGAGGAAGACAGGGAGGGTGTCTGGCTGCTGCTTCCCTGTGGGGCTCCTTGCCAGAGTCATTGCACGGAAGAGACAATGGGACCAGAGCATCTCTCAGGAGTAGTTACAAGTGAATTTCAGTTTCCCCAACTATGCAGTGAGGTCACCCTGGACCCTTGAGTGTGAGGACCAGGGCGTGGGGTAGGGGAGGCAGATGCCCCACAGGGTTCTCCTGGAGTCCCCTCCCAGCCTTCTGCCAAGGCCCAGGATGGTAGCAGGCTGACACGGCCTGGTGCTGGCTCAGATTCTGTAACAGCCGTGAGCAAGTTCTGCCTCTTCTGAGCCTCCATTTTCATAGTTGTGCAAGGAAGAGATGAGTGGTTCTGTCTTGGTGGAGAGCAGCTGGGTGTATCTGTCGGGAGCCTTCAAAAGTTCGCTCCCTTTGACCTCAGTCTATTTGTAGGAATGCTATAATTCTGCTAATAGGAATCTAGCCTAAGGGAATACTCAGAACTATAAAAGGTATGTACAGGTTTTTCAGTTTTGTGTTGTCCTAAGAGAGAATGCTTGGAAGCTATGAAGTGCCATTGATAGGAAGCTGACTCTATAAGGTGCGTGAAGTCAATCTTCCACATGGCTGTTTTTCAGAAGCCACGTTTCCTCAGCACTTTTACTGACATCAGTAAAAACTTGTGTTGAGAGTTTTTTCAGTAGTTGCCCCATGCCTTACCCCCACCCCCATCCTCTCAAAACCCTCTGAAGGGCATTCTGTTCCTATCCCCATCCTACAGAGGGGGATACTAGGACACTGTTACATTGTACCTATCCCAAGATGTGTTTTCACATTTCACACTGAAATCAAGATGAGTGTCATGACCACGGACATCTAGGAATTGGTGAATCCCGTCGCTTCCGCAAGGCCCAGCAAGCCAGTAAGAGGCAGGGGGGAACCCGAGTCCATTGTGTGTGTCTCACCCAAAGCCGTGCTCCTGGAACCCGCTCACTCATGTGCACTGGGGTCCCAGCTCTGCTGTTCACACAGATAGGCATGTGGGGCCCACAGGAAGACTGTCTAGTGTGGTCTTGGTAGCAGCTACTTCTGGGGAGTAGAATTGTTTTTCTCTTGATGCTCCTTGGGTGCCAGGTGTCTGCCTGGCACAAGGACTGATGATGAGGGACTGCCAAGTGGGACTACTTCCCACTATGGGATGGCCAGAGCCCAGGCCCTGTGCCCAGCCTGTGGTCTGCAGCTGTGTGAGAGCCTAGACCATCCAGGTTCCCGGGCTAGTTAAGTGGCCTTCGGGGAGATTTGACCTCATCCTTCTCCTCCTGCAGGTACCTCTACAACCGCATGGGCTACTGGAGCGACTGGTCCGTGCCCATTCTTGTGACCACAGCCACTGCCTTCACATACATTGCAGGCCTCCTGGTATGTGGGGCTGTCCCAGAGGTCAGGTGGCCTTGCTCCCGGGGGAGGGAGACTTGACCAGTGATGGGCTATTGGAGGGTCCTGCTCTGGCCTAAATAGGAAGCTGACATTGGTGCAGCTCTGAGGCCTGTCTTCTCCAGGGTGCCAGTCGCCCCCCAGCTACCTCCTCGAGCCCAGCAAGAGCCATCCCAGCTCCTACGTCCCCTTGCATGCTGCCTTTTCCGGGAACTCTGCTGATATTCTCCTCATGGAGACTTGGGCCCGCCCCTTTCTGGTCTGGGACTCTGTGGAGCCAGGGCTCAAACCTATTTCAGAATCCCAACACTTGATGAATTAGGTTGGACATTCAAGTGCAGCAGGTCCAGTGACCTCTTGAGGGACAGATCGCAGAGGAGTCCAGAGGCCTGGTATAACCCACAAGGAGGCCAGGCCTGGGCTGGGCTGGACTGGGCTGAGCTGGGCATTCCCATCCCATCACCTTGTGACTGTTCTGGGTCAGGCTGGTCACACACGGGGTCTGACTGCCACCCTGGGGCCCCTCCTCAGGTGCTGGCACTATGTCACATCGTCGTGGGGCAGCAGATGAACCTGCACTGGCTGCACAAGGTAAGGGCTGCTGCGGGGGCAGGAGGGGAAGGGGCTGGAAGCCACACAGTAGAGGAGGATGCCACCCCCCTCCCGATCCTGGGATCCTGGCTGTAACTGCCCTGACGGTGCACAGCGCACCTTCCCTGTGTACCGGGCACTGTCCTCACAGCCTGGCCTGTGTTCACTCATGTACCCTCACAGCAGCCCTGTCTGTGGTGTAGGAGCTGTCACCATCCCATTTTTCAGATGGAAAAGCTGAGGTACAGAGAGGTTAAGTACCTTGCCCCAGCTCTCCCAGTTTATAGTGGAGGGTCTCGGATTCCAGCCCCCGAGCCACATGCTGAGCCGGCACAGTTCATGACTCCTCTTCTAGCCCTGGCCTGCTGGGGCCTCACATTTCACTCTCGTCTTTGTTCTTCACTGAGGTCTTTGTAAAACTCTAACCCGGTCACATCATTTCCTTAAAGCCTCTTCCCGTGGCTCCCAGGGTGACCCAGACTCCCCCACCCGCTGTGGTCTGGCTCTGCCAAGATCTCCCTGCTCCTGTCGTGGAACAATCACCTCCGCTTCTGCAGCACGAGCCATCTCCAGCCCTCCCGGCATGCCTGCTTCTTCTCCGCTTTTAGCCCCTGGCTCTTGTGCCCCCTCTCTCCGTGGACTCCTACCTTGTTACTCCTCCCGTCTGCACAGCCTTCTCGCCCCGGGCTCCCAGCCCCTGTGGCCTCCCCTGCTACATTTCTGAGCATCCGTGTTTTTAATGTCCATGTGGCTCCCCGTCTCTAACCTGTTCTGGTCTGGTGCTCCTTGCAGGCTACAATTGTCCCGACACTCTTCCATCCCTGCACCTCACCCAGGGCCAGGCCCACACTTAGAGGTGCTGAGTGTGGGTCTCTAGCACCGCTCTGGGTGGCAGGGGCACAAAGGTGGTGCAAACCTGACCACAACAGCCCTCTCTCCCAAGAGCACTGAACCACAGCAGAGGGCTGAGTCATCTCTGTTCCCAGAGCTGGGCCTGGGGTGGACGTGCCATTTAGGAAGGGGCAGAAATGTTCAGAATGATCGTTAGCCCATGAAATGGGGTCAGAGTGACTCCAAAGGGAAGAGCTCACTCCCAGCCGGAAGTGGGGCAGGGGTCAGGAGGAGGAAGAGGGACTGTGAGCTTGGGCTGGGCTGTGTGGAGGAGGAGGCACCTGTGAACAGCTGCGGGTATGGGAGACAGGGCAGGCTCTGAGTCGGTTACATAGGTCTGGAACGCAGGAGCCAGACCTAGGTACGTAAAGTCTTGCAGGGGTAGAGAGCAGCAAGCGGCTCCTGGCCCTGTCCCTCCTTTCTCTTGCTGGTCACTCTACCTTGAGGTCTCCTATAGGCTTCACGCTTCCCTCCATGAGGCACTTTCCTCTCCTGGCTGCAAAGCTGACACTTGAAAGGACTGTACCAGCTGGCACTCTGGGTGGGGCTGGCGCGTGCGGTGGTCACCTCCTGGGGCCATTGCCAGCTGTCAGCAGGCCAGGTCCCACCTACTGGATCCTAGTGAGGGGCCTATAGAGCCACCGAGCCAGCCGGAGGGGGTGGATCAGTGCAGGGAGTCACATCTCCTCCCCCCACTGCCAGCTCCTGGGGGCCAGGCGTGCTTTCCTCTGCCCCGGAACCTCCTGGAGGTCGCAGAGCCAGAGCTGACCATAGCAGGAGGGAGGACTGTCTAGGGTTCAATGGGTGCATTACTAAAGACTTGGAAGTTCCACGGTTGCATTCTGTTTCCAAACTTCTGTCACTGTATTCTAAAATTCTAAGGAATCTTTATTCTTTTGTTTGTTTAATTCATTTTTGACCATGTAATACACTGAGTTTTGGTCCGAAACTCAAAAGGCAGAAAAAAAGTATACATGAAAATCCCCCTGTTGTCTTTTCAGAGATATTTGAAGCCTATTTAGAAAATATACATAAAACATTTCTTTTTTCTTTAAACATGAATAGCCCAGGGGCTGGGGATTTAGCTCAGTGGTACAGCACCTGCCTGGCAAGTATGAGGTCGTGAGTTCAATTCCCGGTGGTGGGGGGGAAAGAAACTTGAATAGCCCAGCCCACCCCGTGCCCTGCCTTCTTAGCAAATGCTTCAGCGCCTCCTCCTTGGTTACACCGAGAGCACCACACAGGGGCCATCACTTGTGCCTGCTCCCTGCTCTGGACAGTCCCTAGTTCCTGAGGTGTCCAGCCAGTCCCCTGTGCATGACCCCAGTCAGCTGCTTTCTCAGTCCAGTTGCTTTCTCAGTCCTTCACCAGAGCAGTGTGACAGTGACCTAAGAGAGGAGTTTCTCAGTAAAGAATGTGTACTTTAATCATTTTGATCTTGCCAAATGGCCTCTTTGCCAAGTGTCACCAGTGAATGCATGCTTTCTTGGCAATGTATGACCGTGCCTATAAAAACATCCTCATTCGTACGGTGTCAGCTGATTTCTTCACCTTTGGCAATACCGTGGGTGATAGTGGTTCCTCACTATACTTTTAATTGGCATTTCTTATGATGAGTTACATTTGGGGCCCGGGGATATAGCTCAGGGACACAGCGCCTGCCTGGCAAGCGCGAAGTCCTGAGTTCAATTCCTGGTATCAAAAAAAAAAAAAAAAATGAGTTACATTTGGCATTTGTCACAGGACTGGATCATTTGTATTTTCTTCTCTAGCAACTGTCTCTTCGTATCTTTTGCCCTTTTTGCTGGGGGATTTGCTTTTTGCTTATTAATTTGCAGGAGCTCTTTCTAGATTTGGAAATGGGCCTCTTGGCTGATGAACTACAGACAGTCTCTCCTGGTTTGCCTGACTTTGCTTATTGTACTTGTGCCATAGGGATTTAAAAAATTACTAAGTACTTGAATATGTCACCTCTTTTCATTGCCCCCGGGTTTTTTGTCAAATCTGAGAAGATCTTTCCCACTCTAAGATTATATAAAGTTTTTCTGTGGCATTACTTGGTAATTCTATGTTTTTACTTCTTTTAAGATTGAAATGTTTCATCTTTCTTAGAAGTTATTTTGGGGTATGGTGTGATCCCGGCCTCTCCCCTCTTAATGGAGATGCCACTTTGATCAGACACTATACATTTTAACATGTTCAGAGCTACTTCTAAGCTTTTTGCTTACACTCATTTATCTCTCTGGTCTTATACCAGTATCATGCTACTTTGCAGACTGCAGTTTTATGGTATATTTTAATCATGACCTGTATTTTGAGTCCCTGGTTCCCCTGAGTCCTGAGGAGCAGAGAGGATGGAGATGCTCAGAGTGAGGGGAGGAGCCCTCTGGGCTGGGCCTGGGAGCTCCCTGGGGACCTCCCCCTCGCAGTCACGCAGAGCTCCTATCTCCCGGAATTCTGCCTCCGACCCAAAGTGAGCTTTCAGGAGAAGTTCAGGGCCAGGAAGTCACATCTCCTCCTCTCCTCACTGCCAGGGGGAAATTGAGGCTTTGTGGGAGGTAAACAGGAGACCCTGTCCCCAGCTGTCCCTTCTGACCACACCCACCACCCAGAGTCAGCTCAGATGCACCTTTTGGGGGTGCTGGTCCCAGCTCTCACCTCACAGACACCCTGAGCAGCCTTCACTGCTCCTGTCTGTCATTTCCTGCCTTCTCTGCTACAGAGGAGCAAGGCTCCTGAGGCCTGCACAGAAGAGGGTCTGTCGGTGACCCAGCCTGAGGCCAGAGAGGGCCACATGACAGGCCATGTTGATCTGGCCTGGTGCCTGTGCCTCTGATACAGGCTGGACCCACATCCCTGCCCACTGCCCCGCCACGTCCACATCATGAACCCTTCCCGTGAGTGAAGACCTCTCCTCAATGGCTGGGCCAAGCTGCACAGCTCTTCCCCCTGTGCAGCCTCTCACCCTCCAACAGCAGTTAGGAAGGAACAGTCTTCGCTCTGTTCTGTCCACTCTACACATAACCCTGTTCAGCTGAGGGCACTTCCATGTGGGTACAGCCTCGGTACTAAGCGCTTGGTACATTTTCTCATTTATCTTCCCCAAATTCCTTCCAGGTAGGCACTTACTGTCCCATGTCCCAGCTCAGGGAAGCTCCCTACAGAGGCTCCCCTCCCCTGTATGCATGGAGCCAGGATTTGGGCTAGGAGGTGACTCATGTGTCTCTTCACTTTGGGCCACTGTCTGTCATTGGGATCCTAGAGCCAGAGGCCAGATACCCCAAGAGGCCATCCTGTGTCACCACTGCAAGCCTAGGTTTCAACTGCTGCCTGGTTCTGAGCCCTAGGCAAGACTCATTGAATGAATGAATGAATGAATGAATGAATGAATGAATGAATGAATATCCCTTGTCCCCTCCACCCATCTTGTTGCTATCACAAACCATAGCCCCAGCAGGACAGAAAACCGAAAAACCACTAGCTCAGAGGAGGACCATGCTCTGTCTCCAGGCTCTTATCGCAGGGTTCATCCTCCCCGGTCAGATGTAGGAAACAACAGGGGCATGGTGTGGCAAGTCAGAGCTATATCACTGGCCCATGGACACAATGGCAGGAGGAAATCCCACGCAGAACATTCATAGTGCCGCCGAGCACTATGGTTACCACTGCAGCCACTATAAAACTCAGAGGTGATGAAATTTTAATTGTGTTAGGTTTACGAGGAACTGGCTTTATTGCAAGTATTTCCTCTGGCAGTTGCACACTCAGAACGACCCTTCAGGGATGCCTGCTGTCTCTTTGGCCACAGAGGGCAGATGTCTGGCGGGGAAGTGGGAGGAGAGATACAGCCTAGGTTTGGGAGGAGCCTGCCAGGGACTCCTCACCTCCCGGACTGCAGCCTGACTCCTGAGACAGGCAGAGGCTGTTGGCTTCTAGATCTGCTCCTTCTAAGCTGTGCAGCCAGGCAAGCAGGGATAGGACCTCATGAGGGATGTCAGGAGGATATGCCTGAGGACCACCCTGAAGTGCCCCCACAAACCCAGGACGCACTCCTGCATTGCCTTGTCACAGCCCATAAAGGCCCTCACTTTTCTCAGCCTTGTTAAGTGTTTCTTAGGGGGACACTTGTCTCCGTGAGAATGGGCTAAACTAACAAGTCTCTAAAGGAAAACTTAATCCCAGGCAAGAATTCATCTTTCCTGCCTGGTGTGGAGCAAATATGGGTAGGCCATGTCTCTGCCCTCCTGTCTAGAAAGTCCGCTCAGCCCTTGCTGCGTTGGTGGAAGCCTTCAGAATGCCGCTGCCGGGAAGAGGCTTTGCGGGAAGGGGTCGGGGCATGAAGACCCTGTTGGCAGAAGAGCTTGATGGAAGCGGGAGGCCAGCAGTGCCCTGGGGGGTGAATCTGGGAAGCCAGAGGGTCACGTGTGCAGGCTTGGTGGGTCTTCTGAAGGGTCGGGGCTTTGGGATGCTGGAGTAGAGGGTGGCTGGGCTGAGGGAGCAGGCCTGGAAAGGTGGGGAGGATAGGTAGGCAGATCCAGCACCCCAGGGGGATAGTGCTGGGAGCTGGGTAGCAGGAAACCTGAGCTTAGTTTCACTTAGTTGAAGTTCCAGGTGCCATCTGTTCCCAAAGAGACTTATGCCCCTGAAGAGTCCCCCTGGCCCTCTGTCAGAGCTGCGCTCCTGGTTTTCTGCCGGAGCTGCAGAAGGCAGCCCCGTGACACATCAGAAGCTGGAAGCCCGGAGGCTGGGATTGGTGAGCCTTGGAGACAGAGCCAGAGGGCAGAGCCCTATGTCATCCCTCACCTCTGCGGGAAGTGCCACAGAGTGGCCCAGGGAGAGCCCTTTCCAGCCTCATCTCTCATCTCTTCTCTCCACCTTTCCCTCTCTTTTGCTCTGTCCTTCCTCTCCGACTTGGCCTGCCCCTCTGCCTCTGGCTGTCCTCTCGCTGTCCCTGGCTGCCCTTCAGCCCATGCCAACCAGTTTCCCTCCTCCCCCTACCCTGCTTCACCCACCTTTCCTGCTCCAGGTCTCCCTGTGTCTAACTCCTGGACTGCCTTGTCCTCTTTCTCAGATAGAATGGCGCCCCTCACACCTGCTCTGACCCGCTCTCTGCTGCTTCCCCCTTCCAGATTGGGCTGGTGGTCATCCTGGCCTCCACGGTGGTGGCCATGTCAGCAGTGGCCCAGCTGTGGGAGGATGAGTGGGAGGTGCTGCTGATCTCCCTGCAGGTGAGTGGGGACGGAGGTGGGGAGACCACTTCCCCAGCACCCTTGCCGCAAGCAGTGCCTTCTACTACTCCTGCTTCTCCACACCCAGGCCTAGAAAGGGGAAGGGAAGGGTCCAAAGCCACACAGCAGGTGAGAGGCAGGGAAGACGCTACAACCCAGGGTCCCTGGATTCCCGGCATTCTCAGCTCATGAATGGGGAAGAGGTTGCCTGCCTGTGGGAAGGGGTGGACTATGGGTGTGCTGGTGATCTGATTTGGGCAGGGGTAGGAGTCCCAGGACCTTCCTGCCTTCTCCCATATGCAGGGCACGTCGCCGTTCCTGCACTTGGGAGCCCTGGCTGCTGTCACGATGCTCTCCTGGATTGTGGCAGGACAGTTTGCCCGCGCAGAGCGGTCCTGTGAGTACCCTGTGGACTGGGTAGGGCCTGCCCTTCCTGCCCCCTGAGGTACCAAGGCCAGCTTGGCCCGCTCCCACTGGGACTTTACCTCGGTGGCTTGGGAATGAGGTGGGGCCTCTGAGCTCAGCATGGGCTGGCTCAGAGTGGCCACAGACGCCACTGAAGTATGCAGCCTCTGTCAGCCTCGAACTAGAGTCCTCCTCCGAGTGTCTATGTCTGTATGTGCGCGTGTGTGAACTGAAGCTGGGTCTGCCTTCCTACTGCGAGTGGCACAGACACCTGGTCCTGCATCCCACCCTGGCCATCCCAGACTTGTGGTTGGGCCTAGCAGGGGCCAAATGCCTCGCGACAGTGCTCACGGTCTGTGTCTACAGCTTCCCAGGTGACCATCCTCTGTACCTTCTTCACCGTGGTTTTTGCCCTCTACCTGGCCCCTCTCACCATCTCCTCTCCCTGCATCATGGAGAAAAAGGACCTGGGCCCAAAGCCCACCCTCATCGGCCATCGTGGGGCACCCATGGTGAGTGCCCCTCGGGATCCTAACAGACGGGGTGGGGTAGGTGCATCTGCCACTCGGGGGAAGAGTCTGCAGGCAAACGGGGGGTGGGGGACGTATTATTATAAAAACAAAAAACAAGCATTATTAGCTCTTTGGGGAGGATTGGTAGAAAGGCCTGGAGAGCCTGATCTCCCCTGCAGGTCCTGAAGAGCCCTGTAGGTGTCCTAAGGACCTTCCAGAGATGCAGGAGGATTTCAGCCTAACATCAGCTGTTGGTGTAAGAAGACCAGGAGAGAGCGGCTGGCTGAGGGGTCTAGGGCCGTGACAAGGGCAGGAGGCAGTCAGACCATGGTGACAATTAGCAGGGGACGGGTCAGGCCACGGGGCAGGAGGTTTGAGATACAACTCCGAGTCAGCTGTTCAAGGGAAGACAGCGAGCCGATTGAGTGGGGAATGAGAAAGACAGGACAGAGTCAGAGTTGGCACCCTGTTCTAACACCAGGGTGCCCTGCATTCTGTGACAGAGCTGAACCTGAGGGGACAGGCCCTGCTTGGGCAGGGCCAGCCATTCGTCTGCCACTGTGGGGCCGCACACAGTTGCAATCCTCCCTGTGCCTGGTTCCCTCATCCTGTGCCATGGGAAGAGCAAGAGTACCTGCTGCAGGGTGTGAGAAGCAGGAGTTGGCACAGGCGAGGTGCCCAAGTGTAGCACTTCCAAAGCCTCGAACCCTTGCTTCTCAACAGGGGCAGTACCGGTTCCCACGCCCAGGGGGCGCTTGTTGACTTCCTGAGAGTTTGGTGTCTGTTGGGATTTCCAAGGTGCCTAGAGGTCAGGGAGCTCAAGGAGTAACACAGAGGTGTAGTTTTTAAAGGATATGTTTGAGCTCTCAGCTGGGATGTAGCTCAGTGCTTGCTTAGCACTTGTGAGGCTCTGGGTTTGAGCCCCAGCACCAAAGGGAAAAATGATGAGGCTGTTCGCTATGTGTCTGATAGGTCCTCCGCGATTACACTAGAGGTGGGCATTATTTTATAGAGAAGGCTCAGAGTCCTGTCTTCTTAAGCTGGGCTCTGGTACCTTCCCATCAAACCCCACCTTGACCCTGGCATCTGGCAGAGTTAGCCAGCGGAAATCCAGATTTGGGGTCCACTTTTGCCACATGATGCCTGCATGTCTTGGGGAGTCACCAGTCCCCTCTCAGCCTGAGTTTGAGGGCCCCCTATGTTGCTAGCTACTGTGAGAACTGAGAAGGGTCTCCCAGGTAGGCAGGCTGCACATGGGGGTGGGCAGCCCATCTCACTGGCTTGGGGGCCAGGGGACAAAAGCCAGAGAAAAAAGCAGGCAGAAAGGGGAAGGAATGGGCCCAGCAAGGTTTGTTTTCTTTAGTAGAAAAATTTCAAACATACACAAGAGTGAAAAGAATAATTCAGCATATTATACAATGAAGCATCATATAAAGAATACAATATATCTTCAACATTTATCAACATTCTGCAATTCTTGCTTCATTGGTCCCCCTTCTTTTTTTCCTCATGTAGAAAAGCAAACCATAGATTACATATCATTTTATCCATACACACTTTAGGCTCTATCTCTAACCATAAGGGTGTTTTTCTCAAAATGTAACCACAATGCTGTTACATATACTCAATCAAATTAGTAATATCTTTTTGTTACCTAATACCAAATCTATGTTCAGTTTTCTTTTGTTGTCTCAAAAATATCTTTTTATAGTTCAGTTGTTGAGTTGTTTTTTTCCAGTACCGGGAATCGAACTCACAACCTTGCACTTGCCAGGCAGGCACTGTGCCGCTGAGCTAAATCTCCAGCCCCCAGTTGTTGAGTTGTTAAGATTCAGGATCCACATGATGTCTACATAAAGTGTCTGGCTGATGCGTGTCTCCTAAGTATCTTTTAGTCTTCAACAGCCCCCCGCCCCTTTGTCCTTTTTGCTATTGGTTGAATCAGCTGAGTCGTTTGTCTTGTAGACTTTCTCATTTTGTGCATCTGGCTGGTTGCATCCTTCTGGCATTTATTTTAGAATTAATTTATTTGCTTTAATACATATATATAAGGTACATATTTATGGGCCACAATGTATTTCCACACATGTATATGATAAATAATGATCAAATCATAGTAATTAGCATTACTTCAGATATTTATCATTTCATCATGTTGGGAACACTCAAAATCCTCTCTTATTGAAAAGCTGAGGTAGGAGGATGGCAAGTTTAAGCCCAGCCTGGGAAACTTAGCACCTTAGTGAGACCCTGTCTCAAAATAAAAGGCTGGAGGGGTAGCGCAGTGTGAAAGACCTGGGTTCAATCCCCACTACTGTGCACATCCAGAAAATGTTTTTCCTTCTTCTGGCTATTTTGAAATACACAATAAATTGTAATTTACCTTAGTCATCCTACATCCATACAACACCAGAACTGTTCCTCTAACCTGACTGTAACTTTGTATCTATTCACCAACCTCTCCCATTCTCCTGCCCCTGCCCACCCCGGCCTCTGTTAACCTCTATTCCATTCTTTACTCCTGTAAGAGCAACTTCTTGGTGGTGGATTTAGAGGAGTCACCCCCACCCCATGTCCCAGTGAACACATGCAAGTCTGGTCCACACTGTGTGTATCTACACATGGGTCCTCTGGTGGTTGCCTGTGGGTTCCAACTCTGCCACAAGTCTGAGAAGCATCCTGCCTTAGAGACTATGTCTGTGGGCCTTGAGTGGGTTGTTCCTGTGCACACTTTCGTATTTAGTGGGACTAGGTCCACAGTGGGGAGTTATAACCACGGTGTCCTGCTCACTGAGCACTATCCACATCCCTGTGCACGCCCTCCACACAGCAGACCCACCCCTTGCACTGCCTGAGGGAGATGGACGCTCCGGGACACAATTCATCCCAGAACGGCTGTATGTTTTAAGGACCCACCTGGAGCCCTGGAATGGGCAAGGGTGGGCCAGGTTTCCACCCCTCTAGAGGAAACCAGCACCTAACCCAGACAGACCTTAGCAGTGTAGAGAAGCTTCCGGAAAAGGAACTTCCCTCACTCCCGAGAGTCTTTGCAGCCCCTCTGTGCTACTTCCAGGCGGCCTTCTGCGGGTGCCACTCCCCTGGGAAGGGACACCTCTTCCCCATCCCACACACCTGCACCCAGGTCTCTGTGGGTGGAGCCTCCCTTCCTGGAGCTTTGGGGGTGAGTGAAGGTTTGTATCATCCACAGCAGGGCAGGCACCCTTCTGCACAAATGAATCTTTGGCCACGTGCTAAGACAGTGGTAGCGAACCGATGGCACGCATGCGCAGTAGGCTGTTTGTGTCACAGAAAGCCGTTATGGCACCTCTTAGCAGTCACTGGTGAGGGAGACGTGGTGGGAGCACCACAGTCCCACTGCTCTAGGGATCCGGGCCTCACACGCCAATTGGACGTGGGGACAGATGGCACATCCCCCAGGCTGTTGTGCTCCAGGGAAAGAGAAAGAAAGGGACACAGGCCCCTATGTACCACCAGGCTCTGGCCTGAGGTCTCTGACACCTGTTTTCTCCCCCTAGGAAGTAGATAACCTGAGCCCACTTCATAGCTAAAAGAAAACTAAGGCCAGGTGGCCCATGGGAAGTGGCTTACTCCTCAGTCAACCCCAAAGCCCTTGCTCTCCTCTGGCTCCCTGGTTCCCGGCTGCTTCCCAGAGAAGGGCGTGTACTGAGCTGGGGAACAGCATGGCCAGAGGGAGAGAAGGTGGGAATGAGATCGGCCTTTGGACCCCTTCCATTCCGTCCTTCCACTGATGAGGGGCCCTACCTCTCGTCCTACATCCGGTTGATACCAGCTCTTAACCAATCTCTGGTTTGGTGCTGGCCCCCAGTGGCAGCCGCGGGTATACCAGTCTCCTCAGACCACATGCAACCAGGGGATAGGCTTAGAATCCCACTCTCCCAGCCAAGGATCCTCTGAGAACAGTGAACACACATCCCCAAGAGCAGGTGCGGGGGGCTGGGGATTTAGCTCAGCGGCACAGCGCCTGCCTGACAAACGCAAGGTTGTGAGTTTGATTCCCGGTGCCGGAAAACAAAACAAAACAAAACAAACAAAAAAAAAAAGGAGCAGGTGGGGAAATAGGTCCACAGGAGAGAGAATGACCTCAGGTCCCAAAGCTAGTTAACAGGGACAAGACTGAACTAGGTTCCTCTGATTCATGAGCCATTCATTAAGTACTTTTCTGTACAGGCACTGTACTAGCGGTTTTTAATCTGATGGGCTCCAGTGAAGACAGTATTGTCCTTTTTGTATAGATGAGGGCTCTTATCGCCCCAGTGAAACCCTGTCCCACTCCCCTCTCCCTCCAGCATCTTCTCTTGGACTGAGCTCAGGGTATAACCAAGACGGACTTGTCACTTAGCCCTGCCCAAGGCTTCCACAGAGCCACCAGGTTTTGCAAAAGACCTCCTGCCGCCAGCATGTAGCTCTCAGCCTGGGATACATGAAGGGTGACATAATGATCACAGTTAGCATTTATTAGTGCTAGCTTTGTGTCAAGCATTTGTATTTGTCCACACTAACCACCCCTGCCTGCCCCTCCCCTGACAACCTGCAAGGTAAACGTGGTTTAACAGATGTGGAAACTGAACTGAAGAGAAACTGAGTGGGGAACCAGGGTGATACAGCTACTTGCTGGAGGAAATGGAATGAGAATGCAGCCTACCCAGCCCTCTAGTATGGACAACCTGCCCCTGGCTGGGGAGGCTAGATCCACTGACTCCTGGCCCTGCCCTCCCACCCCTGCTCCCCAGCTGGCTCCAGAGCACACGCTGATGTCCTTCCGGAAGGCCCTAGAGCAGAAGCTGTATGGGATCCAGGCTGATGTCACCATCAGGTAGGTGTAGGGGAGAGTGGCACCTCTTCCCCATCCCACACACCTGCACCCAGGTCTCTGTGGGTGGAACCTCCCATCCTGGAGTTTTGGAGGTGGGAGCGTGAAGGTTTGTATCATCCACAGCAGGGCAGGCATCCTTTTGCACAAATGAATCTTTGGCCACGCGCTAGGATCGTGGTAGCGAACCTGTGGCACGCATGCTGTGGTAGGCTGTTTGTATCACTGAAAGCTCTGCTACTGTATTTTTCTTTTAATGTATGAGTTGTTTTCTCTAAACTAAAACCTCAGTATTCAGGTTTAATTGCAGTGTTGGTATTTTGTAATAAATAAGTAGGTTTGGGGTTGAGCTTTGGGCATTTGGTCTCTAAAAGATTCACCCTCACTGCTCTAGGATATAAAATAGAGGCAACACCAGACTTTTCTTGGTTCATGCTGGGGAGCTGGAGCCACCCGAAGGAAGACTAGATCCACGTGTCTCCGGAGGACACAGCTCAACCACGTGGACAATGAGATTAGCAAGTTGCAGAGCAGTACAGTCACTGTGGTGCCAGTTGTTTTTTAAAAGACCACATTAAAGGGATATATACATTTTCTATCTGTAGATACATAAATATGAATTAGTGTGGATAGCAGGAAGAATTCACCCCAGCCTCTTATCAGAGATCACTTCTGGGAAGGGAAGAGGCGCAGGGCTGCCATGTATAGTTAGGTGCACGGGTTGTGCACAAAATAAGGGCATCACATTGTAAAATAAGGGCACAAAACAAGCTCACCATGCCTAGTGTGTGTGTATGATCACATCTAGCAGGTGGTGGTAGGATGCCCTGAGGAATGGGGTCTTTTACTGTTTCACACTAAGGCACCATACAAGTGATTGGCAGCCCCAGTGGGAGAGAGAAGGATGGTAGTAGGGGTGGAACTTGTCAAAGAGGCCTGCGTTTGCACCGTTTCCATTATGGCATCTCATGGACTAGGTTCCCAGCCAGATTCCACCACTTACCGGCCACGGCCTTGAGCTAGATATTTCCCTCCCCTAGCCTCAGTTTCCCCATTGTCAGATGAGACAGCATCTAGCTTCCAAGGTGACTAAGATCACGCCCAGCCTTTTCCCAGCCCTCCCTCTTGTCATCCCTACCCCACAACAGAGAGCCCCTTGCAGGTGAGGGGCCTGAAGCCCAGGGAGGGGTAGGCGGGCCCAGGGCCTGCAGTAGTGGGGAGGAGTGTGTGAGGGGCTGGTTGCCAGTGGGAAGGTGAGAGCCCTGGCAGGGTGGTGACGGCGGCTCCTCCCTGCAGCCTGGACGGTGTGCCTTTCCTCATGCACGACACTACCCTGCGGCGAACCACCAACGTGGAGCGGGTGTTCCCGGAGCTCGCCCGCAGGCCCGCCTCCATGCTCAACTGGACCGTCCTGCAGAGGCTCAACGCTGGCCAGTGGTTCCTGAAGGTCTGGCTGCACCGGGGCCCCAGCCTGAGCCTGGAGAACATGGCAGGGACCCCAAGCAGTAGAGAGGCGGGTGCCCATCAGCTCAGGGGGGCTCCAGGAGCCAGGCTGGTTAGTGGCCTCCTTTGGGCTCTGTCACTGCAGCCTGCAGACTTCACTCTTGTTCTAGGACTGCCTCCCTCACCAGGAAAGGCAGGTGGAGAGGCAGATAGTCAGCAGCTAGGATTAACTGTGACAAGAGGGAGGGGTTTATCTGGTCTGACCTGCTGCTAATGGAGGACCATGCTGGGGTCTGGGAGGCGCTCCCTGAGGTCATGCTCTCTGGAAGCAGGTATGAGGTAGAAAGGTGAGGGTTAGGTCCCCACAGGGCCACAGCCATTCATCTGACACACACCAGTGGACACTGGCAGCCCAGGGCCTCCACGCCTGGTTGCCAGGAAGACATGTGAAGACCCCAAAGGGCTGGTGACAGCACGTGTCCCTGTCTCTACCAGACGGATCCCTTCTGGACGGCCAGCTCCCTGTCACCCTCCGACCACAGGGAGGCCCAGAACCAGTCCATCTGCAGCCTGGATGAGCTGCTGGAGCTGGCCAAGGGCAATGCCACACTGCTGCTCAACCTGCGGGAGCCGCCCCGTGACCATCCCTTCCGCAGCAGCTTCGTTAACGTCACGCTGGAGACGCTGCTGCGCTCTGGCTTCCCGCAGCACCAGGTGAGCCGGGCTCGAGCCAGCTCCAGCATGAACCCGGCCCCTCCCAGACTTCAGCTTCCGCATCTGTCAAATGGGGACTGCATACCCCTGGCCTCCCTGATGGGGTCATGGTAGGGGTTTTGGGGAACAAGACAGACCTTTTGGATGTTCAAGGGCAGGAGCACGTCGGGGTCCTCCAGTTACCTCAGTAAGAGTGCTGCATGCGGGATTTGGGACCAGAGGACCCCAACACCAATCTTGATACTAGTGGCCACATGCAAAGTAATGGCTGCTTGGGTCATCTATCTTATCCGGAAGGGAAGCTTGAGTTCTCGCCACAGCCCTGGACGAAACGAGTTGTTCTGTGATAATGACCCCACCTAAGCAGTCAATGTCCACTGTGGACCAGGCATCCCCTTTAACTCTGCACATGCCCTTGGAAGGGTGAGAACTCCTGTGTGCCCCCTCCATCAGTTTTGCAGAAAAGAAACCTAAAACACACACACACCTGTGCCCACCCCACCTGCAGGTCATGTGGCTGCCTAACAGGCAGAGGCCCTTCGTGCGGAAGGTGGCTCCCGGCTTCCAGCAGACAGCAGGCTCCAAGGAGGCAGTGGCCAGCCTGAAGAGAGGCCACATCCAGCGGCTGAACCTGCGATACACTCAGGTGTCCAGCCAGGAGCTCAGGTGTCTGCCTGCACAGCCCTCAGGGCAGGGAGGGTGGGAGTGAGGTTCCTGACACCCCTGAGTAGAGAGGCAGAGGGCACGGCACGCTGGGGACTCACCTTGAGTATGATTTGAAGGCAAGAGATGCAACCTGGGGTACGTCTGGCTTCTCCTGTGAGCCTGGCCCTCTGGGTGACTCCTTCCACCAAGGACAGTTGTGAGGGTGCAGGAGGCTGTGATTCAGTTTCCTGGCTTCCCACACTGGGGGGCAGCCTGAGCCTAGGCCAACCAGTCTCTGTCCCTTGCCCAGGGACTATGCATCCTGGAACCTGAGTGTGAACCTCTACACTGTCAACGCACCGTGGCTCTTCTCCCTGCTGTGGTGCACTGGGGTCCCATCTGTCACCTCCGACAACTCCCACACCCTATCCCAGGTGCCTTCCCCGCTCTGGATCATGGTGAGTTGGAGACTGCTGAGGGCAGACAGCACCTGGGGTGGCGGAGAGAGGCAGGCAGGAAGCTGCCTATGGCTACCTCAACCCTTGGAGAGCTCTGCCTGTGGGTTAGTTCCTGGGGAGGTCTGTGGATGGGTGGGGAGTGCCGAGTGTGCAGGCTGAGGGCGTAAAGATCTTCATGGCCTCTGGGATCTGTGCTAAGGTGCTGGAAGGACCCTGGGCCTGACCCACAGGGAAGAACACATCCTTTAGGAGCCCTTGAGAAGTAAACAGCTACTTGGACTTTTTGGTTTGGGGGAGTTTATTATATTTGATTTTAAAGGAAAAGAGGATAACAACAGGATAAGATAGGGAAAGTCGAAGTCTGGCTGGCAGTGTGCAGGCCAGGGCATCCCACCACAGGGCGGTGACCAACAGCAAGAGAAGCCTCTTCTCCCACCCTTGCCAGGCCCGCCTGGGACTGAGGAGGCTTGAGGCTGCACATGGGGTTCTGCCCTCCCCACCCTCTGTGTCCCCTACTGGGGAGGCATCAAGCCCTGGGGTCACCGTGCAGTGACATGTACTTCCCCACATGCAGCTGTTCACAGGCTCACATGCCCGCCCGCTGTGTCACGCCCTCACATTCAGATACAGCACCCATGTTTCATCATTCACCTCTTGCTTGGCGCTCCCTTAAGCACATAACCACCCCCCAGGCTTAACTCAGCACTTCTGAGTGTGTACACGCGTGCATGCACACACATGCCCCACCCCTAGGCCCACAGTGCCCAGAGCTCGCTCTTGCCAAGTGAAATCGCAGGCCCTCAAGCCTTCCGACGCTCCCCTGCCCCTCCCTGATGGTCACATGGGGTCCTCCAGCCCATGGACCCTCTATCTGGATGGGCCATGACTGGAAGCTGGCCTCGGGCCATCTATCCACAGCCCCCAGAGGAGTACTGTCTCATGTGGGTCACCGCCGACCTGATCTCCTTCACCCTCATCGTTGGCATCTTCGTGTTCCAGAAGTGAGTAAGCGCTGACACTTCCATGGTTTTCCCCACCCTTGGCAGGCCCAGTCCCCACTCCAGCTGGGCAAACCTTCCTCTGAGCCCTGCGCCCTAGGCCAGAATAAGGCCTGACCAGGAGAGAAGGAGTCCAGGGCCCCTAAGCCCTCTTCCCTCAGCCAGAAGCTTTTGCAATGAGCACCCAGCTGGAAGCCCAGAGCCAAGCTCTGCTCTGACCTGCTGTGCGGACCTAGGCAAATTCCAGCCCCTCTGAGGGCTAGCTGTTAGCCAGGGCAGAGATTCCTGGCAGCACTTGGCACTCACTGTGCCCGGCTAAACTTCTCCCCACCCCTCAGCACAGCAGCTGCCATACGGTTGCAGGGTGGGAGGGTGGTCCAGGGGAGGGTTTAGGGCCAGCCTAGACCCTGCACCCAACCAGGAACCGAGGGGCCGGGTATGATTCTTGACTGACGTTCTCTCTCTGTCCCATCCCGCTCTGATCCGGCGCATGTCCCTCTCTCCCCTCCCCTCTTTCTGCTGCACTCTGGCATCTCACAGCTATCACTTGATCAGGTAATTCTGGTGTGGTCCTCCTCCTCCTCCTGTTCCTCTTTCTCCTGTCTCACCGCCCCCTTCTCCGGTTCTGTCTGAAAACCTGCTGTGCACCACGCCCTGTGCTGGGTCACCCTCGCCGAAAGCCCCCTTGCCTGAAGGTCTGTACTCCTCCTTCTCCCCTGCAGTCCTCCTCTGCTTTTCCCATTTTGCTGTTCTGTTCTCTACTCTGTCCCTACTGCAGTCTCCGCAGGTGAGGACCAGCGTTTCCTTGACAGGTCCCTGGCCTGGCCTCTCAGCACCAGTGTCTCCCTTGGGAAGAAGGTCCCCAGCTGAGCAACCCAGTTCCCTAAGTCCAGCACTAATGGGGGCCTTCCCCACCTGCACAATGCAGTACCCACATTTCTGGCTCTCTCTCTCTCTCCCTCTGTTGCGTTCTGCCTCTCTGGACTTTTTTTCCTCTTCCATCATCCACGCTATCTTTGTGTCTCTCCCATTTCTTCTCTTTCTGTCTCTGATTCCCACCTCCTAACCATCCACATCCCCCATCCTTTAGGGTAGACAATGGCTTCCTGTCCCGGATGCGCTTGGCTTGGCACCTTCCTGCTGGGTTTTAATGTTAATTTCCCAGATGAGACTTGGGTCTCGGACCCAAGTCCCCCATGCCTTAATTAAGCCCTCCTCGGTCCCGCAGCTTCACTGGCCAACTAGTAGGAGGAGAACCTGCTCTCTGTGGTGACCGGAATGAGCCTGGTGAAGGGACATGTAGCCATCAATCCTTGCATCCACGAGTGGGCCAGCATCCACATGTGCTGCTTGTGTGCTGGGCCCATCAGATATAACCAGGGCTGCCTGCTGAGGATCAGGAGCAGCCCTTTGGAGGAAGAGACCTGGGAGACGGGGGAGCGGGGAGTCATTTCCCTGTATGCCTCATTCTTACATTTATTCACTCAACAAATACATGTCCAGCATGTGCAGTGTGGCCGGCACTGAGGTTGGTGCCAGGGACTGGCAATAACTAAGAGGCAGAATCCCTGCCCTGAAGGATTCATAAGGCAGCTAGCCCAGCCAGGACACAGGGGCTTCCCCTCAGCCTCCTGCTTTTACCTTGTCTGTCTGCTCTGTCCATCTGTCTGTCCATTTCTGCTATGCGGACCCCATCTAGAAACTCACAGTTGATTCCTTGTGGAATCTTGGCTCCCTCCACCTACCCAAGCAGGGTTCACTCCCGGGGGGGGCGTTCCAAGGTGCCCATTTGTTCCCGTTGGTGGGACAGGGGTGGGGGGAAGTCCAACTTTCTGCCTTGGTCCTAGGAAAAGTCCAAGTTCAGAGACCAGGGATTTGGGGCTAGTTTGGAAGTACTACTGCAAAAACAATCCCAGGGCTTGGAACCTGAATCCTCACTGCTCTGTCCTGTGCATGCCCATCTCCTGGCCTGTTCTGATTCGTTTTATCCCTCTCCCTGCCGCCTTTTCAGACAACAGATTTAACGCTTCAGCCATCCCTCCCCATTAAGGTTGCTGGAATAGAGGAGCAGACAACCTCACCCCAAGTCACTCTAACACCCTTGCCTCATGGACACATAAGGGTCAGTTCTGAGCACAGCCCCAGTGCCAGCTGCCCTTGCCTGCTTCCCTTTCCTTCCCCTCTGGCTTCGCTCAGCTGGTCATGGTGGTGAGGCTACTGGAGCATCAGAGAGGACTTCCAAGACTGGGTATAGCCCAGGGAGAGCTGAGTCCTGCCTGCTGAGCTCCTTCCTCCTCCAGATTTGTGCCACCCAAGACACTCGTGTACAAAACCGGAGGCACCTGAGACAGAGCTAACCAAACCATTTTTCCGGTTGTGAATTTAGGGTTTTGGAGGTAAGAGGGAGACAGGAAAGCCCAGGCTGAGAATCAGTAGACTCAGGCTCCGGCCCCCATTCTGCCACTCTCTGGGCCTCAGTTTCCTCATTTGTATAGTTGGACTTAAGTCCTGCTGGTCTCTCAGGCCACATGCAGACAGGTTCCAGAAGTGGCCAGGATCCCTGCTCCAGGAGTGGGTGGAGAATGACCTGATGCCCAGGGGGTCATCTCTGCAGGTGGCGCCTGGGTGGCATACGGAGTTACAACCCTGAGCAGATCATGCTGAGCGCTGCAGTGCGCCGAACCAGCCGGGACGTGAGCATCATGAAGGAGAAGCTCATCTTCTCAGGTGCGCAGCCCACAGGCAGGCCAGGGCAGGCCCCGGGCTCAGGGCTCTGCACCCACACACATTCACACACAGCATGTGCAGGAGGGGAGCAGACAGCCATACAGAGCCCTGTGGGTTCCCACACACAAATAAGGAGGCGCAGGTACACACAGAAACACACACCTGCATATGCACTCAACTCCAGATCCTGTGGCTCCTTGTCATGCTTGTTGGGCCAGGGTGGCATGCGGGCTGGGAAGGGAATCTGTTCTGGAGATCACCGCCCTCTGCTTGGTCATATACAGATCCCATAAATAATGATTTTTGCTCCTGCGCATTGCCAGTCTCTGCTGACATTCCCAGTCTGATGCAGAAGGGAGCGGTGCAGACAAGGGCATGGAGAACAGATGTCCCTAGAACTCCCACAGTGGGTGCTGAGAGTGGTCAGAACTCCCTGGGGCAGTGAGGAAGGATGGAGGGTGGTAAGAGGTGCCTGGGTAACGGCTGGGGTGTGGGCTGGGCGAAGGAGGGACAGCTGTGCTTGGAGGCAGTGAGGGAGCTCTGACTGGGCGCTGGAATCACACAGCATCCGCAGACTGAGTCCGCTCCACAGACCTTTCCTGAGCCCTTGCTCCAGCCCAACATTGCCAGCACTACAGCACAGACATCCTGAAGGTGCTCTCGACGGCACCCACACAGAATGTGACCAAGGTGGAGGGATGTAGGGCTTTCCCTGATGGGTGTGGCCTGGGGGAGGCCCATCCCAGACTGGGGACTCCGAGGAGGCTTCTAGGAACTGCCATTACAGATGAGAAGACATGACCAGATTTCAGGACAAGGTGTTGACGGGGAGCTCACTCCTGAGAGGGGCCAATATGCACAGGCCCTGAAGAGAGTAAGCACTGGGAGCCAGGCTCAGGGCACGCAGATGGTTTTCTGCGGCTGGAAGGTAGAGTCCCAAGGGGCAAGGTAACGGGCCAGAGAGGGCTCAGCAGAGACCAAGGAGGGCCTGGAATGCCAGGCTCCATACCAGCCAGCCAGTGGGTACAGCAATCCCCAGTGCCCCACAGGAGACTGTCCACCCCACCTGTCAGCCATCCCAAGGGCCCTGTTCTCCCCGACTCACTTTCTGTTTCCCTTTGGCCCACAGAGATCAGCGATGGCGTGGAGGTCTCGGATGAGTTCTCCATGTGTTCAGACAGCAGTTACGACACATATGCCAACAGCACTGCCACCCCAGGGGGCCCCCGAGGGGGCAGCAGCCAAGCCAAGACTCTCACGGACCGGGGTGGGCGTTAGCTGAAGACCTGTGTGTCCCCAGCCTGTACCTAATGTAGAAACATGGGGTGCCCAGGAGGCTGGCAGAAGAGTGGGCTCACTTGGAGTGCTCTGGGAGCTGGCTCCACAGCCTCCTTGTGGGCTCCAGGCCCTTGTTAGCCATGGCCTCCCTTGGAGGGGATCGCCTCCCTTGAGGCCCAGGTGGGCCAGGACTCCAGCCTCCCAGATGCCCCTGCAGGCCTGGGGCTCCTTCTGGGCAGTGCAAAGCCTGGTCCTCAGGTTCTGTTCTCATGGCCTTCCCTCGTATTTGCGCCTGGAAGCTTTGATGGGCCACTGGGCCGTGCCGTGTCCCCTGTGGCAGTGGAAGATGTGGATGCTCACCCTTGCCCACGTGTGTCTGCCCACCTATCCGTGCCATGAGGCAAACTTCCCTGTTTTATCCTCTCTTGAAGACCTGGGCTGGGCCTTTCCCCCAGCCCCTGGCAGCTCTGCTTCCCACATCAGTCTCAAAGCACAAGGCGGTTCAGCCCAGGAGGAAAGCCAGCGGCTGTGGTGGAGACATCTCCTCCCTGACCAGCCTCCCACCACCACTGACCTCCGCCCCAGCAGAGGACTTGAGCCATGTCCCCTAAGAGCAGCTGAAGATGGCCAAAAGTGCAGGCTCAGGCTGCTCTGTCTCACACCCAAATGTCCAGCAGGCCTCTGGGCAGAAGGGGCCCTGGGGCCCAGGAGATCCACAGACTGACAGACCTCAGGTTCCCACATCAGCAGCCACAGGGCAGGGGCCACCTGGGAAACGTTCTGGGCACAGCCAAGCATGGGCATGTGGCTAAGGTGGGCTGCAGTGAAGGGAGCCTGAAGGCCTCGGCCAGGATGATTAAAGCTGCCATCTTGATGTGTGTTGTCTGAACTGTCCGCAGGACTACGGGGACAGAGCATGTTGGGTTTGAGGTTAGTTCTGGCCCCATGATTGGAGAAGGAACCACTCAGAAAAGAGTAGGACAAGAGCAGGGTAGCAAAGCCCCTACCCTGTGTCAGCCAGGATGTCTGGGGTGGTCTGGGGTGGAGAGGACACTCTCGGAGGGGTAAAGCGACTGTCCAGGGCCACACAGCATTGAAAAAGTAACGCCAGGATCCCACCTACATTCTGACTCCAGCCTTAACCAGCGAGGAACGGCACAGTAGGTAGGGAGGGCTCTGAGTCTGATGCAGAACTGAGGAACAGGACCGGCAGGTCCTCACAGCCACAGACGCATTTTGAGGTCCCCTGTCTGTGGAGAGACAAGCCCACAACCCAGAGATGCCTCTTCCTAGGGGAGAAGGATTGACTGTATCCTGAGAGTCTCTATGTCTTAGGTGTGTCCTAAGGGAAAACCAGGAGGCTAAATACATACCTTGCTCCCTAGTAGCGAAGGGTCCTGTTTCTTCTCCAAACTGGGGTCTTTATGAGTGTGAGAGATTCTATCACCTTCTTGGGAGAAAGGAAAAGACCATCTTCCAAATACTGGCCCCTCCACAGGCCCACTCTCATTAACCTCTAGGACAGCTCCTTGCGGCTGAGGGCAGTCACACCTTCCTTGCCACTGCACATCTCACAAGCACTTCCCTTCCTGGGGCAGAGGTCGGCTCCCACCCGTCCTGGACACAGGCATGAGAGAAACCCAGAATTGCGTGGGCAGGGGGCAAGCATTGCCCTTTCTGAAATACCCCAATGACCTCCTTCCCAGCCTCTGGCAGCCCACCCAAGAAAGAGGACAGGACTGAGGGGACAGACCTTTCATGCCAGTCCTTCCTAGTCTAATCAGCTTCCCTGGGCCACTGGCCTGGGTATCCAAGGCTCCTAGCCACCCTTGGCAAGGCTGTCCCCAACCTCAGCTGACCTGCAGCCCATGGTCCATCCCAGCTCCTCTCCCATGAGCTGAGGGATTACTAAAATCCCTACCTTCCTGCTGCCCTCTGCGTCTCCCATGTCTGCAGAGGAGAGTGCACTGCCCTCTTCACAGAGAAACTTCCACCCTGGTAAGCACTCTTCCCTCTGTCCTCAGAGGCTGAGGCCTTCTCTGGGCTTCCAGCTCTGCCGGGTCCCCTCCATGACTCCTCAGCCCTCCTGTCCATGAATAGATATGAAGGTACCCAGATCTCTCACATCCTTCAACAAGCCCGCCATACAGAAAACTCTCTTTTTGGGGGTTAAAAGTGTTCATCATTTCCTGTAGCAGGGCTCATGGGACAGACTGGCCAGACCATGGGACATGTGTCCAGCCAAGATCACAGTGAGCCCGCCCATCAGCTCCTTCTACAAACTCTGGACCTGCCTGAGCTTAGCCAGGGCAGGCTCCTACCACACCTGGCCTCCATAAGGCTGATTTCCTATGGCGTGTGGCTTGCACCCACCCTCTTCTGAAAATCTGAGCAACCCAAAGTGATAGGCACGACCAGGGTCTGACAAGATGACAAGACGGAGATGACAAGATGAAGAGCCAGGCCAACCAGGCTCTTGTCAAGGCAGCCTCCTCCCCAAAGCACTGCTCCCACAGGGCAAATCTCTCACTCACCCACGTACCAGGCCCTGTGGCAGCTTGTGGAGACAGCACATGATCCAGCACCAACCCATGAATCCCTTTCGTCTAGCTCTATGAGGCCAGGCCAGCACAGAGCTGCCTCATTCTTCCACCCAAATCATTCTGGCCACACCCTGTCCCACTACGCCCCTTCCAAGGGACACTCACCCCGCCATGCACACCACACCTCAGACGTAGGTCCACACGCTGCTTGCATGCACACATAGACATCTGTCATATCACAGGCATGTACATCCCACGGATATATACACCCCTGTGATACACAAGCCACGGAGACATGAAACCCTGACACAAAAATGAACAGTCACCTAGAGACACAAAGGGAACAGGGTCACACCAAGTCTCAGAATGACATGTCTGCTGTCAAGCAGGGATACAGACACAGCACAATCCCCCAGGGGCAGGAGGGAAACCTCAATCCTTAACTGTGGCAGTCACCTTTTGGGGTGCATCTGTAGCTACACAGTGGTACACCCACATATCCACACCACCCCAGGGCTACACGGTCACTATCTCCCATGCACTCTCACAGTCACAAGTAGGTATCCAGGAACAGTTAGGCTGACAAGCACCCCATCTACCTAAGGCAGACACAGCCCCCTACACTTGTGTTTCATTCAGGAACAAGGCTTGCACCAGGCCATCCTCAGTCCCAAGCACACCAGACCACAGAGTTGCACACACAGTCAATCCCAGGCTTACTACCGCCCCCTCCCTCTTAGGGACTGGTCCAAGAGTGGAACAAAAGCCCAGCGTCCACCCCTCCCCCTCCCCTCTGCTCTCCTCCTCCTGGCGTCCAGCCCCTTTGTCCTCCCTCCGTTGAGCCCTAGCGGAGTCTGGGCAGAGCAGCAGGGACATTGTGAGAGTCAGGCAAGCAGGGGCAGGAAGCAGGCACAGACCAGAGGGAAGCAGTCCCCGCACGCACGTGCAGAACAGCAGCGCTGGAGCCCCTGAGAGGGGGCGTGGCCAGGTAAGCACCAGGTACTTGGGGGCAGGGCTTGGGATGCAGGCTGTGGGCTGTGTGCTGTCCAAAAGTTTGAGCGTGAGTGCCGGTGAAAAGAAAGATGGGGGTGGTGACATGTTAACCAACTTCCACAAGCTGGGTCTCTCAGTCTGCATCATGACCACTGGCTTGAGGCCCTTAGGGAGTGTGTTTTATGCAGTTCCACCCATGAATCCCCTCCCTTCCATGTTGGCACTGGGTGACCTTCAGTCCCCAGACCGGGAATCCCAAGGGCAGAAACTGAGTCTCAGGTCCTTGTCTCTGTGTGTCCACAGTACAAGTGCCGAGAACTGTAGACAGCACTAGAATAAACAAGTATGGGTACACTTTACAGGAGAGGGCTCCCTTCCTCTCCACAGGAAGCCCTAGCCTGTCCTGCCCATCTTAGGGGGAGAAATCCCTCCCTATGCTGATGAGCTCTCCCCTCTCACATCTCAGCTCTGAGTGTGGCTGTGTCCTAGGCTGGAGGCAGCATGTGCAGACGGCCTGTCTCATCTCCTTCCCAGGGTCCCCATCTGCACCTCGGGGACATGCTTCGCCCTGGCAAGTGTGGCAGAGGGGCTAGGCATGCAGAGACTGGAGCTGGCTGTGTTCAGGGTCCAACCCCTCTACTTGGACAAAAATCAGTCGATCCTGTCTACTGAGGGGCTCGTTTATCCTGATGCTGAGGCAGGAAATCCACTGCCCAGGATGACCCAAAATAAGCTGTCAAAGCCAGGCTGACACTGGGCAGGATCTGACTTCCAAGGGTCAGAGTGAGCTGAGAAGCTGAGATCAGAATGGAGAGAGAAACAAGGGGCTGAGCTGAGCTCCCCTGGAGTAAGTTGCTACATAGAGGGAGCTCCCCAACCCTGGAATCCCGCAGACAAACAGAGGCTGTATGTTCATCAGGGCCTAATCCTCATCATCACCAGAACAGCCCTTTAGGGTGCTCTGCAAACACCGCCCCCCTTTGACCCTCCCAGCAAACTTCTGCAGGGCGGCTTCTCTCTGTGTACCTTTCCACACAGCAGAGTTAAAGAGGTGTGTGTGTGTGTGTGTGTGTGTGTGTGACTAAAGATACTTCTCAGGGTTGTAGGGGTCAAATTAAATTATGTAAACAAAAGCAACCATCACACTGTAGTATACTCCCTTTAGCGGCAGTAAACACAGATAAGGTAGCATCTACTGAGCATGTACTACTACCTACCTAGCACTTTTCATTCATGTCATTCACAACTCTGGGACTGAGGCATTATGTTCCGGTTTCAGAGGAGACCAGGGAAGCAGGGAGTGACTTGCCTAGAGGTCACATAGTGCCAAGTGGAGGATCAGAATCCCACTGAGTCCTTAAGAGGTTGGTTCTTTCCACTTCCCTGGAGCAGGAGACATCCTCCCTCCACTCCCTTGCCTTCACTTGGTTAATTCTCCCCATCCTTCTCTGTCTAAAGCTCCCTTCTTAGAAACCCCTTCCCTGATTCCCCTCCAACTAGGTTTATTGCCCCTTCTATGACTTCCCCTAATTCTCCATAAACTCCCCCAGGAGTTCTCCACAAGCTCTCCTGACAGGCTGTGAGCCCTGGGAAGCTCTCGGGGACTATGTTTGTCTTGGTCATTGCCTGGAATAGAAATATTGTAAGTCACAATAAATATTTATGACCTTGAATAGGTATTGAGCATCTACAGCATGCTACGGGGGGAGGGGGCAGATGAACAGAATACAGTGGAGTAGAACAGAATCAGTGCTTGTTCAATGGGAAGAGCTACAGGAGATCTGCAGAAGACTGGATGGAGGGGAAGTAGCCACTCATACATGCATGCACACACATGCATGACACTCTGCGGTTGCCCGAATCTGTGTCACAGGACCCTCCCTTTACTGGCATTTTGTATGGGCTCCGGTAACCTCCCTGCCTTCAGCTCACAGCTTTGAGGTAAACGCTCTCCGTGGTTGACTCACGAGGCTCTGTGCTACTGAGATACCCTAAGTATTGCCCAGGCTGTAGTAAACCATGCCTTTATTGCGCTCCCCTCAAATTACCCTATTTGAGAGCCTACCATCTGTCTCTTGCAGAGACGGGTGAGGAAAAGCTTAGCAAGTCTGGAAAAAAGAAAAGGCCAATATGGCTGAAGTAGGTAACTGGGAATGAAGGTGGTACAGATAAAGCATAAGCTAGATCAGAAGGCGATGGGATGCGCAGACGGAAGGAGGAGCTGGTGAACGAATGCAGACATTAACAAAATAAGGAATACAAGCAGGGGTGTGCCACGAGCTACAGGCCTCCGTCCCCTAAGCCGGCCCGCCAGGAGGATCTCCCGACGCTGTTTGTGTTCTCTACCTGGCAGGATGTGGGAGGCCCCGGAGCCGGAGGAGCCGGAGCCGGGCTGCGAGCTGCCGTGCGCGGCGTCCTGCCACGCGCAGCGCGTCCTGCAGACCCTCAACGCTTACCGGCGGAGCGGCACCCTCACCGACGTGGTGCTGCGCGCCGGCGGCCGCGACTTCCCGTGCCACCGCGCCGCGCTGAGCGCAGGCAGCGCCTACTTCCGCAGCCTGTTCG